TAGACATGGGTGATGCACGCGCACGTGAACCCTCTAAGTAGGCTCGTATATGTACTCCTAGGTCTAACTATGAGTCGGGACTTACTTTTCATCACAAGTCGGGACTTACTTTTCATCATTGTTCCTTGAGTTTTACCTTTTGTTTTCGAGTAAGGTTGGAGACATAATACTTCTATACATGAGTCATGCACGCGCACGTGAACCCACTAAGTGGGCTCGTATATGTACTCCTAGGTCTAACTATAAGCTAGCTCATGTTCATGCTTGTTGAAAACCAACGACAAAAAAAGGAGGGTGTATGTGTCGTGGTGTAGACGTTCAGACCTAATATACTAGAGAAGTGATCCATATTTGTGACATACGAGGTTTCACGTTTTAACTACATGATATTCATCACGAAAGACAATAACACATCATAACATAGAATTATGGCAGTTTCAACCAGAAGTTTATTTACAATTTCAAGCTCAATTTAGTGTTTCTAAGCTCGTTTTAGTCTAATATTTGTAGATTCAGTTTCACGTGATCAAATTTCATCTACATTATTTCATTCATTAAAAAAATCGAGTTTAGAGTCTATCCACGAGCCATCATTTAACGTTATCTACGAGCTAACAAAACAAAAAAGACAAAAGGACAAATAGAGGAAAATATTATAAATTTTATAACTTACTTTTTTTCCACTACAAGTTGCAAGTGCTTATCCAATTACAAATATTCACTTTAAGTTTTATCCATAAACTTTTTATATTCATAAATGAAGTAATTATAATGTAATGTTTTGTCTTTTATGGATCAAAATCGAATAATTTTAAAAGTTTACGAACTAAAATGTAAGAACGTATACGTGTTAGAGAAATCTTTTGGATTAACCCGAAATTTCGAGTTAATTGAGTTGGTTCAAGTCACAATGCATCATTGATATCGATTACAAATGTTAAATATCTTTAATTCTCCTAATAATCGTAAAATTATGGTAGGGTTGGATTTAGGTTATAACTCTATTTTCGAGTTGGTCTAGTTGACTTAACCAAGAAATGTCAACTGTGAACCAATTTAAATTTTCAATTTTTTAAAAATTAAACTTAAACTCTAGTCTGTTTGCTTCAGGCTCATCAACATGTCGTACCACAACCGTAACCCTCCATTCTGCCTCCAACTCGTCCTTAAAATGGATCTAATTGCACTTCACGCTCCACGTTCTTTACGTCTTTTGGTCTACCTAACCAGTGCATCTTTCGGGTTAATCCATATCAACCTATAAAACTTGAACATAAAATAATAATAATTTTGGATAAAAAGTTATGAAATTTCTCCATACGATACAGTTGCATCATAACTACGACGCCGTACAGCTGGTACACACTCTTTCTCTCTCTACATTTTTATTTTTTAAATTCATTTTCTAGAGAGAGAAATTCTGAAATGGGATGAAAACGACACGTCGTCTCTCATGATTCGTTGCTTCAGCGTCGCCGCTCTTAATATAGCGCCACGTGTCCCATCACATGCAAGGTTTCCACCAATCACATTTGGTTCTTCGGTTTCCCTAGCTCCGTGACGTCCATGATTATCTCATCCGCCTTTGCGTCACCCACACATGAGAAGTTGCCACGTGTCGAACTTCTTGGTCATCCAGTAACCACTGCGGGTCATGGTCAACTTGCTTGCGTGGATCTCAAGTACCCTTAACCCCTGGGTTTGGTTTTGTTTGTTTTTTCACATTTGTGCGCCTAGTCACGTGCCATGTGGGCCATCCCTCAGTTTGTTTTTATTGTTATGTGGTTACGTGTCTAGCATAAATATTATAAATATTACATCAAATATATACAAAATTATTAATTTAGAATATGTTTAATAATTATTAAAAGTCTTATGAACATAAAATTAAAAGCATATGGTTAGGCTATAAATTCATGGGTGCAATATTACCTATGAGATTGATTATATTATTATTAAAAATGGATGATGCATGCAAAGTGAATGAACCAAAATGTCCACATTCAAAGCGTTAACCAGGTTGGATTGGGTTAAGATTTCTTTCTATTTGGGTCGGAGGTCAACTCGATCAACCCAAAAATTGGGTTACAATCGCCAATCCAACCAACTTAAAATTTCGAGTGCGCCTCTATCAGATATTATCCTCTTTGTGTTTTTCTTTTCCGAACTTTTCCTAATATATTAAAATGTGTCTGTTAGGAAGAGGTTTTCACGCACTTGTATGAATGATTCGTCCTCCTCTCCAACCGATGTGAGATCTTACATTTGTGAGTTTTGTTATGTAGACATGAATTTTAGTACAAAAGTGAATATGCATCGATAAAAAATGATACATATAACAATAAGGTGACGACAATGTATAATAATGAATGAAAGTACATCAGATTATTTGAATAAATCCAACCGCGAACGTAAGCAAAAATGAACATGATGGAGATCGTTGAAGATAAATAAGAACTATAACCCACCAATAAATGCTAGGGAGGTCAGCATATATAGCTTTAACATGATCATGTTACTTATTCATCACGTCAAAAAGTAAAAACTATCTCCAAAGACTATTAAAAGTCTTTTTATTCTCCGTAAATTTTATTGAAAAGGATAACCGTACAACTTTATCCAAACATTTAAGTCATAAGCATAAAATCCCATGACGGGTATTTATTGGAATATATTTTATATAGTGATATATTTTATCCGGGTTTGGTCACTATTATATTTTCTCTTATTTTTTTTCTATTTAAACATTATGAACGAAAATGAGACTTTCGATCCCACTTATGTTTCTCTTTCTTAACATGGTATCAGATCATCATTCTTAACAACATCGAAGAAGAAAGAGGGAAAAAAGAGAGAAAATAGGAAGAACAAAGCGAAGAACGATTCATTTGGGAGAGTAATCGATAATAAATTTTACTAGAGGAACAATTTTCGTCATATCTGTTTGAATGATGAAACTCCCACATCGGCTAATTTAGGGAATGATCATGGGTTTATAAGTGGAGAGTCGTGTTCGTCTAACAATATTTATAATCAAATCGATGAACGAATCAACAAAAAGTGAACGATTTCCATATTGTTCTTGATCCCACAACCTTTATTGCAAATAAGTAACAAAATACAATGTGTTTTCAATATTATTCAATCAAAAACACCAAGTTTAGCATAAGAATTAGGTAGTATTACAGCAACAAGAAGGAGGATCTTTGAAGAACCCTAAACATTCACCACCCTTCGCATGCCCTGCATTAATGCAAGCACTCTCGCAGTTTGGGATCTTTGAGCATGGCCCCAGGCACGCCACTGCCAAATTTATGGAACTTCCTGGCCTCGTCCCTAGCCCAGCGATGAGAACAAAAGCCATGCAAAGGAGGAACGAGAACGAAGAACGCATAGCAAAGGAGGACGCCATTTGTTTGGGGATTGAGAGATTAATGGAATCTCACTTTCTTAAATACTGTTATTTTCGTATCTAATTTAATTGCTTTCGAGATTTCCCTAACGGTTGTCTCGAATAATTGTTGTTTTATCATTGATCTGACTTGACTTTCGGTGTATGTATCCGTCCGACAAGATTTTTTTTTTAAAAATAGAAAAATGTTCTTGAACGTTCTCGAGGTACTCTTTTAAAAGATATGAAAAGGCATACAGGTAGGTAAAACAAATCAACCCGATACTAAGCTTTTATTCAAATAAAGAACGATCTATTCATAAGTTTTTTTTAATAATGATTAAATTCGATTTGGGTACCCTAAACCTACAATCGAATTTGTAATTTAACCTTCATTGTATGTCTAACCTATTATTATGGGTCTATATAGGTTGGGTCGAGAAAATCTTGTGGACTAACCTAAATAAAATTCACAATTCAACCCTATATTTTTGAGTTGGGTCGGATTGGGTGACCAGGTTGTTTTTTTTTGTAATTAATTAAAAAAATTATACTTATCCTCAAATATCGAATATTCTTAATATTTATAATAATCTTAAAAATATAGTAAGGATAATAGATTATGTTATTACTTTATTTTCAGTTCCGACAAAAAATGTTATCTAATATTTTGGTTTTCAAAATATTCAACCTACTCAAAAATCAAAATCTAACGTCCTTTCTCAATCTTTATGAACACTCTATCTATAATGCACGTTGAAATGAAAATTGTGATTCATCGCTATCTCCGACAAATAATTTTATTAATAAAGAATAATAGGTTTAAAATTTTATGAAAATTAATATATTTCAATAAGTATTATTGTAAAAAATCTATATTTTCTGACAAAAGTGGTTGATTCAAATAATATGTCACCTTGCTTGTGATGTACACTAAAAACATAGTCTAAATTTTTATAGGTAGTATTACTTCCATTATTATTCATATTTACTATTTCTTTACATTATTATTACGAATTATTGACCATTAAATGATTTATAAATTAATATAAGATTTGCATTGCTTATATTATACAAATATAAGAATTATTGAACCCTCCATTATTAGAGATATTTGAATTATTTCTCATTATTCATGGTAGATTATATTATATATTCATTTATTAAAAACAGTAACAATTCAACCTCACCACTAGTAGATATTGTCTATTGGGTTTTAAGTTTTTTTAAAAAAATTTAGTTTCCCTCTCCAGCTGATGTGGGGTCTCACAGTCCGTCCCCTTTGAGACTTAGACGTGGGATTTCACAATCTACCCTTTTTCGGGACCTAGGATTCAGTGTCCTCACTAGCACACAGTCTGTTGTTGGGCTCTGATACGATTTATAAGAGTCTAAGCCTAAATAGATATTATTCTCCTTCTATTTTCTCTTTTGAGCTGTTGTACGTGGGTCAGCATTTAAACTCATTTACTTCTCTCAACTGTCCCTCAACACTCTCTGCCCTTTAAAACTCCAAGCTCACAGCTCCATTGGCCACCAACACATACAAAGACAAGTGTAAGTGTTAGAACAGAAGAAGAAGTCAAAGAAGAAAATGGCCCAATTGCTTATGGCTTTGTTTCTGGCTCTTATGGCCACTCACGCCCTGGCTAGACCTACGCCACCCGACGCCACCTTCAATGACCAAAAGAACTTCCTTACCTACGGTGGCATTGGTAGCTACTCTGGCATTGGCAGCAACGGCCTCCCCTTCGGTGGCATTGGCGGTGCAGTCGGATCAGGCGGCGATCTCGGTGGTGGACTAGGCGGCCCTGCTGGAGGAATTGGTGGACTAGGTGGGTTGGGAGGAACCGGCGGTGGCATTGGAGGCGGAGCTGGCAGTGGTCTCGGTGGTGGCTCTGGTCTTACCAATCCCTGAAGTTGTTCAATCTCGTTTGATTTCTACTTAACATGTTATTGGTCGTTTGAAGTTTAATTACGTTGTTGTAGGTTATGAGTCGTTAATGTTTTCCTTCTAGGCTTTATCAAATTTTCATTAAACTAGTTTGCTTTATGTTGTTAAATTATTTCATTAACTTTATGTCGTTTTTGGTTGATTAATCGAGTTTGGTTGATGCATTGATGTAGACTCTTGCCTTTATCTAGATAAGTTTAGTTAAAGATCTTCTAACCGTCCCTACCTCATTATACTGCATATCATATGCATTTAGGACACGAGTATCATTTACTTTCGACAAGATGGGGTTCGTCCTCCCGTGGCTATGTTTCGACGATGTTCAACTATCTCCAAAACATTCTTAATTACAAAAGAAACAATGATAATTTTGTAAATATTCGGTCGAAAAATAAAAAGAAACACCCAATGCCTACAATGATTTTCCAATGACCATGGACGGTGACTCTACGACGGAGAATACTCTAAATTGAAATCACAAATCGGTAGTTCAACTTTATCGGATACAAATTTCCAAGATATCGAACGAAAATCCCTTCAAACTAGTTACACTTTCTTAAATCTTTATATTCATGTATATGGAGATCAATTAGTTTATATTTTGTTATGTGCGAAAAAAATTTCATATTAATTAAGGAAGATAATTATCTCTATGGGTACGAGATACGAGATAGTTAAGGTGATTATAAAAAAATAAATCGTGAAACTAAATCTTCTTGAAAAAAATAATTACTTAAAATGGTATTAGTACCAAAACTTTTGAGTCAGAAATGACTAACAAATAATAAGATACGACAATTACGCGATACAAACATGAAAGTTATTGATCATAACTTTAGGTCGACCATTATTTAAACGCAAAATAATAATAATAAAAAAGGTCGACCATTATTTGTGACGGTAAATTATTTTCCAATTGTTTCGTGTCCATAATTATATTGTGTGTATTCATCTGCTCAATTATGCTAACGGTATTAGAGCTAAACACCTGGTGGTGTGCAGTGAAGACACTAAGTCTCGAAGGGAGGTGGACAACAGGCGGTGTGCCAGCAAGGACGGATTAGAGGCACAAAAGAAACTAGGAGTGGACTTGAGCTGTTACACTCACACTGTTGAACCTTATTAAAGTATTTAAGTTTTAATAGCTCCTTTGGAGGTTTCATTATTCTATTTTGTTTTAGCTATAACTTATATATATTCATTGAAATCAAAACCTTATTGCAAATGGACAGATACCATAAGAAGGGTATGTGTGTAAAAAGTTCTTATTTTGGTGAAGACTTGGTGCAGTGGACTATAGCAATCCCAGAAATTACCACTTTAATTACCCCATATGGTAATTTCATACGGCCTGGCTCTGCCTTCGCATTTACACTCATTTACTTCCTTCAACTGTTTCTCAACGCTCTGTGCCCTTTAAAACCCTAAGCTCACAGTTCCATTGGCCAACAACACACACAAACACAAGTGTAAGTGTTGGATTAGAGAAGAAGAAAATGGGCAAATTGTTTATGGCTTTGCTTTTGGCACTTATGGCCACTCACGCCGTAGCTAGACCTGCGCCAACCCACGCCACTTTCAATGACCAAAAGAATCTCCTTGGTGGGGTTGGTGGCGTCTCCGGCCTCCCCTTCGGTGGATTGGGTGGTGGTCTTGGTTTTCCTGGTGGAATTGGTGGTCTCGGTGGCCCTGGTGGTATTGGTGGTCTTGGCTTTCCTGGTGGCATTGGTGGTCTTGGCTTTCCTGGTGGCATTGGTGGTCTTGGCTTTCCTGGTGGGATTGGCGGGCTCGGTGGCCCTGGTGGGATTGGTGGTCTCGGTGGCCCTGGTGGAGTTGGGGGACTGGGAGGCACTGGTGGTGGCTTGGGTGGAGGTGGAAGCGGAGGTACCGGTGGTGTTGGTGTTGGTGGCGGTTCTGGTGGCCCTTATCCTTGAAAACTTATGTAGTTGTGTTTGATTTCTACTAAAGAGTTGTTGCCATTTGTAGTTTGTTTAATCAAAATTGTGTGGAGAGATGTAGTTTAGTGAGCTTGTAATAACATTTGGTGTCATATTTGGTTTTTTTATTATGATTTGGTTGTGATAATCCTCTTTATATGTAATGAAAAATGATATGGGTTGCATTGATATCACGTAGAGTTGAAGAAAAAAAACATTTTTTTTTATATCTCAATAATATCACCAATACTAACGAGATGCATCTTTATTTTCGATATCTCAATTATAAGAACTTCATAATTAACCGTGTTTTGCCAGAAACAATTTTATGTTGGGTGACCACTTAGAAATTTTTCTAGAAAGCATGCGAGTAAGGATAAAATATGCTGAAAAAACTGTGTTAATATGTGGGGGTAGCTTTTACTTTCAGAAGTGATGAGTAAGTAATGTGATCATGTTATAAGAGAATGATTCTCCATATTCGAACCATATTCGAACCGGATTGACCCATGGACTAGAGGCTTCTATGGAACAGCTAGTGAATGAAATTAAAAGCAATGCATTAAAGAGATGAACTAAGTATTGTACTTAATTGGGTAAGGTGGAAAATTAAAAGGCTGTGTCTGAGTTGCCTGGAAATATTAACCGCTACCATAATTCACCGCTTATTTTGCTTCCTACCAACCACAGCTACTTTCATATGGACTATAAATTCATGGTATATTATTATAAATGGGCATGGCTGTATGGCTGTATATCTCATCATGTCCAAATTTACCGCTAGCACATATTGCCATCTTTAAACTTTCGAGATTTCCTTCAAGGTTTTTAAAACGTACATCTTTATAATAAAAAAAAAATGTTTCGTTCTCTTCCTTAACCGATGTGGCATTTCACAATCCACCTCTCTTCAGGATCTAACGTCCTTGCTGACACACGTTTCCTTCTCTGATCGTCAAATAGATAATATATTTCAAGTTCACAATATTTTTAATGTTACTTTTGGAAGTTCATGATATTTTGAAACATGGAACTAACAACTCAATTCATAAGCTAACCATAAAGGTATTAATGAAATTTTAAGAATTCTTGAAGGATATTTTTGAAACAAATTAATAACAGTTTCGAGAATGGTAATGATATATATATATATATATATATAAACATATTAAAAACTTTTATTCAATATTGAATAATATATTTAAATATTTAATATATTAAAAAAATATATTTTCATTTAATATTATCTAACATATATTACATATAAAGACAATAATTAAAGAAGAAAGGATAATTTGTTTTAGTTATTATTTTAAATTTAAAATGTCATGTCCACATTTAAATGAGTTGTTTTGCCATACCATGGGGCTAATTAAATGCATAATTATCTATAAAATCTTTTTCATGCCTTCTCATCTACTAAAAAAAAAAAAAAAAAGCTCATAACTATGATAAGAATTAATAAAAATTAGCCTCCTAATTTAGTTGCTTGTGTTTTATAATACCTAGAAATTTTAATGAAATGGACACCCTTACTCGAGGTGGATTATACAGACAATTCATTTACAGCCTCGGGTACTCTATTTAAAAGACAACCACAAAGTGATTTTTCAAGTACAATATCTTTGAACAATGAAAATGAGTTCTTTGAAAAAACAATCTCTGGTTTTCTTGTTTATCATGTCTTTGGCAATAGTTGAGCAAACCGAGGCCAATTTATCAAAATGGCATATCCATGTGGTGAATGGGCTAAGCAACAACGATGTGTTGTATGTTCGCTGCAGATCAAAAGACGATAATTTAGGCGAACACAATCTTAATGTTGGAGGTGAGTTCAAATGGACTTTTAGAGTAAACTTTTGGAATACGACGTTGTTTTGGTGCTTTTTGCAAAAGCCAAATGGACAAAAGCAGTCATTCGAAACGTTTTGGGTTGAGAAAAGAACGTTTTGGCTCTATCACAATTGCTTCGAGAATGAATGCTTTTGGATTGCAAAAGATGATGGAATCTATTTGAAAGAGAACCCTACGAACACAGATATTTTGGTTCATAAGTGGGAATAAGTATTCACTACAAATGCAAGGCTTTATCATAAATGTCTCTTTCTTTTCTAAATATTGGAATATCCTTTGTATTTGGTGAAGGAAATTAGAGTGTGGATGAAAAGTATGAATTTTATTAAATAATGGGTTTAATATATAACCCTCTTCTTTGTTTAATGTCTAAATTAATTGTTCTTGTCATTTTCAATTAGAAATATTAAGAAAAATGTTGATTTAATTCGCGTGAACCTGCCCTAGTTGAAACATGAAGAGATTTCTCATCGTTAGCTAGACGGGGCTAAAGATGGATATTATATTTCATGTCCTAAACTTGTCCAAATTACCACCCTAGCTCTTTTGTGAGATCCCACATCGGTTGGGGAGAAGAACGAAACACCATTTATAAGAGCGTGGAAATCTTTCCTTAGGTTTTAAAAATCTTGAAGGGAAACCCGAAAGAAAAAGCCTAAAGAAGACAATATCGACTAGCGGTGGTAACTTGTATCCTGTTTACACGTAATGAATATCAATGAAAATACAAGCCCTTCTATCCCAATTTTATTTCTTATTCTTAACGACCTGAAAGATTATGTGTAATATTGAAATTTAATTTTTTAAAATTTATGTTGGTAGAACATTATATAATTTGTCGGGCGAATTTGATCCTTGCCTTAATCATGCAAATTTTTTTTTTGAATATACGATCCATACAACCGAAACCAATTCAACCCAGAAAGTTTATAGTTAAGTTGAGTTGAGTTCATTATCTAATATAAATTATTGGAGTTGAAAAAATTTATAATCGAACAACTGAGTTGAGTCTAAAAAATATTCCGACTCGATCCAATCCAACCCACAAACACCTCTAACGCTATGCAAAAAAGGAAATTTGAAATTAAGAGAGCCTTAAAATTTGTGGCTGTCTTATATATTTTATGATAAGAACACGATAAATTCATCTAAACATTCATTCCCTCCTACCACTATTTTGATTATTTTTGAGTAAATTAGCATATTTAAGATTCAACGACGTCCTTAAATGGCTTGTTTAGCATATCTACTTAAAGCGGATAGCCATTGATATTGGCATTCAAAGAATTTTTCCGAATGGGGTTTGGACGTTATATCCATTGCACTACACATCCCTATTTATAACCCTCTCACAAACTACATTTCCTAGTGAAATATGTTAAGCAATGGATATGAGAGAGCACTTCTTCCTTTTCGTGTTTGTCTTGTCGTTAACAATGTTTCAGTCGATCAATTTTATTGACTTCGAAAGATGGCACATCCACATTTTGAATGGGCTAAGCCATGGCCAAAGTTTGTTCGTCCACTGCAAATCGAAAGACGATGATTTGGGCATACATGATCTTAGTTTCGGAAATGAATTCAACTGGAGCTTTAGAGTAAACTTTTGGGGTACGACGTTATTTTGGTGCTATTTGCGGAAGTCTAATGACAAATCTGTGTCGTTTGAAGCGTTTTGGGTTGAGAAGACGTCGATTTGGCTGTATTATAGATGCTATAAGTATAATTGCATTTGGACTGCAAAACATGATGGAATCTACTTGAAAGATAACCCCCTTGATAGAGATGTTTTAGTTCATAGGTGGAAGTAATATGCATAAAAAACACAAAACACTTAATTGTATATGGTTAATTTTGATGTATATAAAGTTCTTCCCACACCCATTTCTCTTCCCTTTGTTCTTTTTTTTTTCTCCTTGTTCATATGAGTTTAACGATCAATTGCATATCGAACAACTACAATATGGGTCAGAATATCCACCCTAAATGGACTGAAAATATTTCTCTTTAATTGTTTACTGAAATAGAAATCGAATCTATGACAATCGTGTAAGGAGAGGTACATGAATGAATCGATACCATGTTTGAATGAAAACAATCTTCAGAGTAGGATGGTTAAGAAAGACTTAAACAAATTGAAAGTTACTATCTATCTCTGCCATAAATCATTAAATAAATAAATACAAAGTCATCAAGCGTCAAATTAGTGACACGGGTAAGTAATTAGCATTGCACGATGGGCTAACGAAAAACCTTAACATAAAAAACATGATGTGAAGTCTGAAACTTTTTATAGCGTTTTTTGTATAGCTATAATGAATGTTAGAATTATAACTTCCAAGTTACCATGAAAACATTTTATAATTTTAATTCAATAATTTATAATTGTTATAATTATCATATGATATTATTTGTTTTTCATTATATAAATTTATTTAATTATTTAAATATAGTTAATTATATATTGATATAATTTAATTGAGTACTCCTTTTTTACCATATTTGTATTTTGTATTTAGAATTATTAATATTTTTATTGGGTTAATATGAATCAAATAATAAATCTGTACCTAATTAATGTAAAATTATCATTAAATTAAATTTAATAACGCAAAATTAGATAGCTCATTAATTTTCTTTAAAAAACCATTCCATACGCTTTCCTTAATTTCTTGTTTGTGATGTATATTTATATTCACATAATATTAATAGATTGATAAACAAGAAAAAAAAAATGTTTAAGAAAACGATTAGAAACATGGTTATTTTGTTGCTCATCATGGTGACTTTTGCTCGAGCTCGAGTTGTTACAAGAATTACGTTACTTCTACCGGTACCTACAACTACTTATAACATTCATGTTGTTAATGGGCTAAGCAACGTCGGGTTAATTGTGCATTGCCAGTCGAAGGACAATGATTTGGGGACTTCCAATTTGCTTAATCGTGGAGATGAATACCAATGGAACTTTAAGGAAAACATTTGAGGAACGACCCTCTTTTTGGTGCACATTTGAGAAGTTGGGTGCTTATGTCTCTTTTGATAGCTTTTGGCCTGAGTCAAAGAACAGATGGCTGCCTGGAAGGTGCAGAAATGGAGGAAATGGAGAAGAAGGAACTTGTAATTCCTTCTTATGATAACTAAGCTTTAAATTTTTTTATCTAATTTTTTTTAATTAATAAAAAATAAGTGAAATGTCTACGTAAATTCAAGAAGTATTATTACGATGAACTATCTTACACAAAATTAGGAACACATTAATATTTTTTAGATTTTTTTACCATATGTAATCTATTTTTAGTCTTCTAAATAATGATATTTTCTATCTTAGGCACGAAATTAATGGAGTATTGCCATGAACTTAGGTTGCATAAGCAAAATTAGTTAGATAATTAATTTTCTTTAAATTTTTTTGTCTATATATTTACCTCATGTCCAACGTTAATAGGCAGACCCAACAAAAATTTGGTCCAGAAATGATAAGGAATGTGGCTGCATTGTTTCTCGTGATGGTAGGTTTGGTCGGGGCTCAGCTTGAAGTTGAGTCTGAGAAGATCAATGTAGAGCCTCCGCGAATATCCAGTTATAACATTCATTTGGTTAACGATCTACAAGTCCTTGGTATAACGGTGCACTGCAAGTCAAAGGATGATGATTTGGGAGTTCATAATTTGCCTCATCGGGGAGATGATTACCATTTTAGTTTTAAGATTAATGTTTGGCAATCAACCCTCTTTTGGTGCAGAGTGGAAAAGCAGAATGCATACATCTCTTTCGAATGCTTTTGGACAGAAATACACCACAGATGGCTTCGTAATAGATGCCAAGATGGAGATGTAGGAACTTGTACCTGGAAGTTTAAAGATGATGGAATTTACTTGAGACACAATTCAGCTAATACGGATGAATTGGTTCATACTTGGATCAATATGTGATAAACAACCTTTATTAATTTATTTTGTTCTTGAGTTATTCACACTCATCAACAAATGAAAATGTATACCAAGGTTGAAGTGAATGAAAAGAATAAGTTGGGTAACCCTTGTTGATAGTTCGTTTTATTTATTTATTTATTTATTTTTTCTCTAAAACTTAAAATTAATGACAAAATTTTCCTAACTTTTAATTCATTTGTAGATACAGTAAAAAGGAAAAAAGGTACATTTTTTAAAACTTTAGCTAAATTAATAACATATCAATTATCATCAATCTAACTTATAACTTATAACTTATGAACGAAAAAGAAGGATGATATTTAGATTTTAGAAAAATAAATATATAAATTAATGTGTTTATTCACTTATAATTCCATTTTTAAATGCTATAATAGAGTATTTATAACTTTAATTTTATATTATAATAAATTTAATAAATCATTTATAATTGTTATAATTATCGTAATAATTTTTTTTCAGTGTATACATTTATTTAATTCTTTACAAAGCATTTGATATAATTTAATTTTAGTACTCATTTTTAGCTAAATCCATCCCATCAAACAGGTAAATAAGTTTAATTTCTATCCACTTTCCATCTTAGTTTCTATTTGTTAGATCTTACATCGGTTAGAGAGGAGAATAAATAATTTCTTATAAGCGTGTGAGACTGACAACCGTAACGGGTCAGGGTCAAAATGGACAATATTCACTAGTAGAGGCATTTGATTCACGTTTTAAAATCATGAGATACATAATGTAGTAGAGGCATTTGGTTCATGTTTTAAAAATCATGAGATACGTAATGGACAATAACTAAGATACCGACCTAAAATTTTGTATTATGCAAAATGATGTTTTTGTTTAGAAATATTGATGTTTTTGTTGCTAACTTAGGTAAGTTTTGAAAATTGATGAAATTTGTTAAGTCACGCCACTCATTACGATCTTGTACACATGCTTCTAGAGCTACTCGTTAGCTACGGAACCTGGTGCATTGCCCCAAAAGTGCTCCAAAGTTCCTCCGAATTGTAGTTAAGAATCATCTCCAATAATCTCTGCTAGAGCATGACACAATATCTATCACGGAAAAGTGGAAAAGTGCGAATAAATCTGAAAATATTATTACACAAGTAAATGAGTTAAAATGAAAGATAGAATTGGGATCGATTCAATCTTCATTGATACATATAAATACGCTACAAGCTACCAACTAATACCTAAAATATAAACTAACTCAGTCTTGCAAAATAAAATAAAATATACTACTAATCTAACAATATCTAAGATATATTCGATAACTAATACATTCTCCAAATATTAACGGATTACGAATATCTTCACTAATTCAAACTAGTACTAAATCCTGACCGCCTCCCTTGGTGGAAGCTTATTTCTCAATAACTCCAAGAGCCTTACGAAAAACTTCAAACTTCACTGTGTTAAGTGTCTTAGTAAATATGTATGCAACTTGCTCATTAGTATGTATTTTATGCAATTCAACATCCTGTGCTAACACATTTCTTGAATAAGTCTCTTGAACCACAAACATTCTTGAGTAGCCACTGTAGCAGCTACATATTTTGCTTCACAACTTAACAATGCAACTGTGCTTTGCTTTTTACTACACCATGAAATTGCAACAGAGCTTACTGTAAAACAAAAACCTCTTGTAGAGCGTTTGTCGTTTGCATCACCAGACCAAAAAACATCCACAAAACCACTAGGATTTTTATCAGGTTGAGCACCTCACCCCAATGGTCCAAAGTTATTGAAACCCGGCCTAGCTACACCTGAAGAAATGCCTCTTCTAGAGCCTGGAGAAACTGGTGGGCCTAGATCGGGTGACATGCCATGAGTAAATGGTTGTTTTGCCCATCCGTGTATTGAGGAAACAAATGACATAAAGTCTTTTCGTAATCCACGAATAAGATAACATCGTAATCGAGCATCACTCACTGGCTCCTTAGCATCTAATTCCGAAATTTCAGAGCACAGATTTTTCACTCTCAAGAAATATTATTCAACAGAAAAATTACCTTGAGTTAGTATAGCTAGTTCATTTTATAGAAATTGCAATCGAGTTGTATTTTTCTTACTGAACAGCTTTTGAAGTGTTTCCCACACTTGCTTTGGCGACTTTAAATCACGAACATGATCAATATATTCCTTGCTAATCAAAGTCCGCAAGGTAAATAAAGTTTTTCCACGTTTGATCTTCCATTTTCGGCGTAATTCAGCATTTTGTGAAGTATCTGCTGGAATTTCTATGTTATCACCTTCAATTAAATCCCACAAATCTTGCCCCAATAGATAGCTTAGATACATAACTTCCAATAATTATAATTATTGCCAACAAATACTTCCATCATTCATCTCGTTACCAATTGATACCAACTGACACAATATCTACCACTCAAAATGTGAATAGATCTGAAAATATTATTACTCAAGAAAATAATATAAGTTAAGGATGAGAAATAGAATTGGGATGGACGGTTCAATCTTTATGGTATTTAGACCGTTTAAATACGATATAAAGAAAATATAAACTAACTTAATCTTTAAATAAAATAAAATATACTATTAATCGAATCAGGATTACGAATATACAAGATATATTCTATAATTAATATATTATTCAAATATTAATTAATTACAAATATCTTAACTAATTCAAACTAGCCCTAAGTTACGCTAAATTCTGATAGAGCAGCCATATGCCAAACACCACCAGAAGCCACCGGTAGAATACATGGTAAAATAAAATTATCTTTCAAGAAGCTTGTTCAGTCTTATTCATATATTCGAGTCATAACAAAATATTGATATTGAAAAATTAATAAATCTCAATGTATTATTATGATGAAACTATCTAATACAAAATTAGGAAGATATTAATTTTTTTAGATAACCTATTTTTAATCTTCAAATAACTATTTTTTTCCATTTTAGGCACGTAATTAATGGAGTATTATCTTTTTCCATTTTAACACGTAATTAATGGAGTATTACCCTAATTGAAAGCATTTTTATAGCGTCTTTTATATAGCTATAATAAATGTTATAATTATAATTTATATAAGTTACAATGAAAACATTTTATAAAGTTTTTGTAAAACTATAATATATTAATATAGCTAAAATAATTATAGAACGATAATTTTAATTCAATAATTTATAATGGTTATAATTATGGTAATAATTTTTTAATATTATTTCTTTTTCATTATATAAATTTATTTAATTATTTAAATATTGTTAATTATATTTTGATATAATTTAATTTGAGTACTCCTTTTTTACCATATTTCTATTTTGTATTTAGAATTATTAATATTTTTATTGGTTTAATACGAATCAAATAATAAATCTGTAGGTAATTAATGTAATATTATCATTAAATTAAATTTAATAACGCAAAATTAGATAGCTCATTAATTTTCTTAAAATCATTCCATACTCTTTCCTTAATTTCTCGTTTGTGATGTATATTTATATTCCATAATATTAATAGATCGATAAACCAAAAAAAAAAAATGTTCAAGAAAATGATTAGAAACGTGGTTATTTTGTTGCTCATCACGGTGACTTTTGCTCGAGCTCGAGTTGTTACAAGAATTACGTTACCTCCACCGGTACCTACAACTTATAACGTTCATGTTGTTAATGGGCTAAGCAACGTCGGGTTGATTGTGCATTGCCAGTCGAAGGACAATGATTTGGGGAGTCACAATTTGCTTAATCGTGGAGATGAATACCAATGGAACTTTAAGGAAAACATTTGGGGAACGACCCTCTTTTGGTGCAGATTTGAGAAGTCGGGTGCCTATGTCTCTTTTGATAGCTTTTGGCCTGAGTCGAAGAAGAACAGATGGCTCCGTGAAAGGTGCAGAAATGGAGTAGAAGGAACTTGTATTTGGACCGCTAAAGAAGATGGAATTTACTTGTTTAATTTCCCTTCTAGAACTGATGAGTTAGTTCACAAATGGATCTTTACATGATAGACAAGTTTTATTAATTCATTTCATGGTTGAATTATTCATTAACAACAATAAAAAATAACCATGCATTTAAATTTGAATAAAGAAAGCAAAGTTTCATTGGATAATCTTTAATGGGTTGTTTTTTTTTTTTTAATTATATGATAATGTATTTGTTTACGTTGAAAATCTGATTCATATGTGCAAGTCATAATAAAAAAGTTATTATATGAGAGATTATACATTAATAATTTTCTATATTTTCTATTTTTTATTTTGAAATATTGATATTAAATTTCTTTGTTAAAAAGTTAATAAAAAGGTGAAACAAATTAGGAAGATATTAATTTTTTAACCTTTTTACCATATGTAATCCATTTTTAATCTTCGAGGCTACCTCGAAGTTGAGTCTGAGAAGATCAATATAAAGCCGCCACTTTCTAGGTATTCATTCATTTCGTTAATGATCTAAGCATCCTCGGTATGATAGTGCACTGCTAGTCGAAGGACGATGATTTGGGAGTTCATCATTTGCTTAATCCGGGAGATAATTACAAATTTAACTTTAGGGTTAACTTTTGGAGAACAACCCTCTTTTGGTGCGAAGTGAATAGGTCGGATGCAAACGTCTCTTTTCAATGCTTTTAGCCTGAGAAGAGGAACACATGGCTTCGTGATAGATGCCAAGATGGAAATGTAGGAACTTGTATCTGAAAGTTTAAAGATGATGAAATTTACTTGAGAAACAATGCAGCTAATACTGATGAATTGGTTCATAAATAGACCTTTACGAGATAAAGAACCTTTAATATTAATTCATTTTGTTCTTAAATTATTCATCAACAAATGAAAGATACACCAACATTTGAAGTTGAATAAAGACTGAGATAGGTAACACCCTTGAATTTTTTTTTTTAATATATTTGATAACTAAATTAAATTTTTTTCCTCTAAAATTGAAAATTTTTCGTTATATAAATTTATTTAAATATTTAAATTTAAATAATTATATTTTGA